GTTTCTTACAAAGTTAAATACATATTTAGGATCTGATCCAAGCAATCCCACTTCTATGTAATTATCCAAGAGAAATGGAAACTTACTCTCACTCAAAAACTTGCATGCAGATATTTATAGCAGTGTTATTCACGGTTGCCAACAACTGCAAACAACCCCAGTGTCTTTCAACTAGTGAGTTGATTAAACAAACGCTGGTACATCCATACAATGGAATACTACTCAGCAATAAAAAGGGATGAGCACTGATACAAGAAACAATATGGATAATCTCAAATGCATATGCAAAATGAAGAAGCCAGACTCAAAAAGCTACATTCTGTATGATGGTATTTATATGATGTCCTGTAAAAAGAAAATTCTAAGAGCAGCAAATGGATCAGTGGTTGCCAGGGCATTGGGAGTCAGGGAAGAAATTGACTATTAAAGGGTAGCATGAGGGATTTTTGGGGGGGATTGCTGGAACTATTCTGTATCTTGATAGTAGTGTGGTTACACAACTGTATGTATTTATCAAAACTTATAGAACTGGACAACAAAAAGTGAATTTTAATGCATATGGATAAGAAAAATAAATAAAAAACTCATCTTGTCTGTTATTCAGAATAGAAGCAGGGAGACCAATTAGGAAGTTATTAACGTTGATTAGGCAAGCTCCAGTGGCAGCCTGGACTAGAAAGAACGCCTTATACTCCCCAGAGCACCCATCCCTGCATTGTTCACCCAGCTAGAGGACAATATACAGTTTGAATTGAATGAGTAAAGTTCTTTATGGCCATTCACAGCTACAATGAAATAAGTTAATGTTTTCTGCTTTGACCTAATTGTTCTCTCCCCAGGTGGACACCACCATCAGCTTTTCTCTCAGCAACAATGACCAAGTGCCTGGGTGAGACTTTCCATCTGCCCTGTCCTCTGCCAGTGTGATTAATAGCTCAGTCAGGGAAGAATTGCAGGTCTCTTAGATTCACACCCACTCATTTGAAACAGTATCCTTGAGGTTCATGGGGCCGGGCACGTTCATATAACCCAGGCATGCCCTGTTGGAGAAGTCCTGACAAGAATGGGCATAAGCGCATTTGTTTTACCACCTTTTTATGCAGGTGCAATTCAATAAACCAAATGATACATTAACAAGAAAAATCATGTTTATGCCAAAAAAACACGTCACCCTCATACAAAAGCCTTCTTTCCTTCCATAGCTTTGCATGGTACTGGTAATTCAAAGCTTATTTAAAGAGTTCTCAGCAAGTGCTAGTCTTAATAAACTAACTGGAGTCAAAATTTAAGTACTGCTTTAAAAAGCCCAATTTAGATTTCAAGTAATTTTTGAAAACCCAGGTTAGAGCAATCCTTTGGTTATCTTTTCCCCCTCCTACCAATGAGGAAAACAAATGAAGCAGTGGCTAGTTTGATGATAATCCTGAGGGTTCTTGCAGTCACTAATTTTAGAGGTGAAGTGGTAGGGAGAGAACCCAAATGAATAACCATTAAATGTAGAATTTTTAGAAAAAAGGGCTTCAGAAATGGATAACAAAATTACCCCCAGAGCTATAAATAAACATCTCAAAATAATGCAGGACACCAAGCAAAAAATTCTACAAAAATTTAAGCACTTCCTATGTGTCCACTAGGGTCTAATTGAAGAGGGTCTCTGTCCTTGGAGAGTTAATCATTGTCTCCTAATCATCATAATTGTTCCTCTTCATCAAATGGTGCTTGATCCAGCAAATGGCTCCACCACTGACCTTGGCACACAAATCAGAAAGTGGGGCTGTCTCTGACCACTTCCTCTTCCACTTCTGTCAATTCCCAAATCTTGTGGGTTCTACCACCTGAAAGATCCTTGAATCTGTCAACTTTTTTCCAATCTACTGGTCTAAGCCATAATCATCTCCTAATAAAGCCATGTAGTAGCTGCCTAACTGATCTGTTTTTTTTTCTTTCTCCTCTTCAAATTATTCTTCCTACTTGCAGCCAGAGCAGTCTTTAAGAAACCCAAATCTAACCAAATCACTGCTTCACTTAAAACATTTCAATGGCTTCTATTGACCTTTGGATCAAATCTAGACTTAGGATATGGCAGAGACAATGATACTCACCAAATATTCCATGTGTTCCCCAACACTTCTCAGCTGACTTGAACTCAGATGGGCTAAGTGACTGGTTCAGGCCAGTAGGTTGTGAATTGAACATGGCATTTGCCAGTGTTCCAGATGGTGCAGCTACAAGATGGCCCAGCCTTATTAGTCTGGGTTCCTGAATGACAATGTGAGCAGAGCCTCTTACCATCCGCAGAACGTGTAATGTGGGTGAGAAATAACATTTTCTTTGTTAAGCCACTGAGATGTTGGTGCTGTTTATTACAACAGCATAACCTTGCTCATCCTGACCATATAGGTTGGTTTACAAAGCCCTCTGTGATCTGTCTCTCATTTACTTCCCTGTCTTCATTTTTTGTTACTCTCTACTTCCTAAACTCCAGCTCCAATATTCTTTTGCTCCCTTGTATCCATATCTGCCACACTTCCTCATCCTGTCAGACTTTTGCACGTTACCTTTATTCCCTAAAAAAAAAAAAAA